TAAGGAAGCTCTCACAACAATACGTCTGCTAGGATAGCAAACGATCGTTCGGGCGAACCTGAATACCTCAGTTCTACCCTTGCACCGGTATAGACTGGATCTCGTAAACCACTTATATATGCCAACCAGTAAAAAAAAAGAACACGCTACTAGCACGAGCAAAGCTAGTATGTGTTATGAATCCTCGTGGTCCCAACAGCGGAAGGGTACCAGGCACGGGTAAGCCTTTTACGAGGTCACCAAGTGTTCAACACTCGTCGGTTGGAAGAATAAAAGGGATGCAATATAAGCAACCATAGTCGTGCAAATAGCCAACAACAAGCCGTCACGTAAAACCTCCCTATAGTAATCGGCCTATACACACAGTCTCTTGGCCTTGCCGGATGAACCCTCGCTACAGAGCCTCGAGTTCACCGACAGGCAAAACACACTCAAACAAGCTTGACCAGACGCTTACCTTGAAGCCGGACAATCGCTCTGTGTGTATGAGTGGAAATTCTGTTCTGTAATTATGTGTGCCCTTTCGGGCCTATTCCGAATAAGAAGTCCTAATCAAACATACAAATATCAAGTGAACAATGATCCGTTATGGATCTTCTTGCGCGCCAAGCGTCGTCTGCACCGTCGTATGAGCATCTTTAACAGCTCGCGCCCTGTCCCAGACGGTGAACGCGCCTTTAAAGAGTCGCTGAGTATTCCGCGAACACATCCCAACCGCCACCGAGGGCTCATACCGTAGATAGTCAGTTCTTGGCCGCTGAATGCGAATCCGGCCAGTCCATTATTATTAATAAGGACAACTGGATTGAGTGACATCTGGACCGTACCCAATATCCGTTGAGTGTTTGGTAATGACACCGTCGTCTCTTGCACCTTGGAGTCACCATACATCACGTGACCGATGGTTCGTCGCTTGAACATCTTCGACGGTGCTGTATCTTTGTTGACGGGCGATTATCTGCAACTCGGGAGAAATCACTACACCACAGCTCTCCATATGATTTGCTAGAGTGAAAAAAAACATGCGGATGGGTCTACTGTCATTAGCTAAAAATTCACAAATTCGTTTTACCTCGGGCGACTTTTCCATACAAACCACTGCTATTTTAAGGAGTACTTGTAAGCACTACTACTTACGAATTTGTTGGCACCAAACGCACAGAAAAAACCCAGCGTGAAACACAAAATAAATACTGGAGCCGCGATGCGTGATGGCATTGCTGCGATAGTGTGATCTATCAGACTCCATTGCTGACAGAACAGCTTTTGGTGCTTCGCTGAACTAGCATCAATAATAGGAAGCTTGAAAACCTGGCTTGGGGCAGTTGTGATATAGTGAATCGCTAGGAGAAAGGGATGGAGTCACAAACCATCGCCAGAGTGTTTCAAGGATCAATCGTGGTATTTTTGGCTTATTGGCATCGACGGTGACGGTTCAAGTGACGACGCTGCGTCACGATGGTGTGAGCCACAACAGTCCGAAGCATTGACAGGTTGTAGCGATCCGGATACTACGCACGGTAAGGTCCTAGCTGATTTTACTTGATGTTTGTAAAAAGAAGATAAGGATACGAATGATTAAAAGAGAGAATGAACCGACTGGTCCTAACAATAGCAGAGCAGAATTTACCCTGGAGCTCACAAGTGTTAAGCGTCGAGGTAAGTACCTTACCCTTAGTGACCCTGCAGGGTGTGACTACCAGTGAGCAGCGACCTTCCTGAAGCTATTGTTCGTTTCCGGTCAGGACAAGAGACTAGTTGAGAGTTTGTGTTTTGGTCTGCTCCCTATTTGAGGGAAGTTCGGGTATTATTTTCCCGATATTAGTAATCTTGGTATTGATTGTATCCCGCAGATAACTTACAGTCTGAATTATTATTGGGCAGCCCCGTAAGAGACTTAAGGAGACTAGGCATCCTTCCGATGTTGGGGCCACATAATATTTGAGAGAGGGGGGGGGTACACGTACAGGCGAAGCTCGTGCCTGTTACGTTTGTGTAATTTACCTACTAGCGTATACAGTAAGAAAGGGAGGCGTTGGGTGCTGGGTCTTACTTGGCTCCTTTACAACGTTCGCCGATCCTCGTGGAAGGTACATTGCTGTGTGCAGAGGCTCGCTACATATTTTGATGAATCCCTACAGCGCAGGAACCCGTTCGTCAAGAAAATCGCCGACGTACCAGCGTGGAGGGAGAATTACATGTTCTAACTATCGTATGAGAGGTTTAATGTACAAGCAGGTTTGGAAGTTGGTTTTTTTTGCCTGCCCTTCAGAGACCGACCATTTCTCGCTTGATCAAAAGAGATGCGCCATGTCAAAAAGATTATTCATTACTTAAGACAATAAATTGATCAGTCTCGCTTCGTGACAATCCTCCCACTAGCACGGCCAATTGTTAGTAATTTGGTGTCGATTATTTAGCGAGCACAGAAGCAAAAACGTATGAGAGTGACTATTGCTACAAAATAAAGAGTCGGAGCTAAAATTAATTACAGTAGTTTTACGTCCTATCTATGACAAAGACAAGGCATATGGATTCACGCACAATTGCACGCCAAATGTTTGAAAATAACGCACTTTATAAACGTTGAATTGTATTAAGATTCAGTGGCTGTGGCTCATTTCGGAATCCCCCTAGGGTGGCAACAGACTAGCGCGCAATACAGCGAGGGATATACTGCGAGAAACATGGGAAGCTGACGACGACGAAGAAGATGCCGTTGCTATTCGCTAACTGCGTAGCCCGCATCAGCTGCATCACGTGTGCAACGCGTCGGTTCCTACTCTTCTGGGTAAGGCGTGCCGAGTTTGATTTCTTTTTATCTAACAAATTAAAGGTATCAGGTACGGAACCTTCTCAAACGTGCTTGTTCGCGGAATTAGAGCTAATAAGGTTAATGTTTGCTGAGAGCCTTTACTACAGAAAAAAATAAAATGTTGCGGCTCATGACTCGTATTTGAATGGATGGGAAGTGCGCTCCGACGCAGTGTTACTTTAGTGCGAAGTGGTTTCATAGTATGCCGTCTACCATTGTTCCTCTCGCTCTCGGAGATCAAGAAGTAAAGAGACCTCTTCAGAACGACATGTCTGCTGGTTGGAGCAAAGGCAAGCGAGGTTTGTAGAATTTCAATAAATCGATGCTCGAAAAGAGAGAGAGAATGTGTGTCTGCGGGAAAAGCTGATACTGTCTTTTACTCTAGCTGTGGACAGCTAGATATGCTCTGCATTTGAAACAAAGGCTTTATTTTGTGTTAAATTGTGCCATTTCGTCGTAGATTGTGGTACTTCGTGTCAAAATTTAAGTAGGTTAAAAATGTGTTCCAAGTGTGTCTAACTTGGGGCGGTGGTGCTACGGGTTGGCTCGGATATCTCTGATGTAGAGGTATTATCGGTGACCAGTACGGCGTATGGATCACCGCGCACAACGGCAAGGTCATCCAACTTCGTCAGATGCCATAGGTAGTTACGTGACGATCATGCTCCAATAGTAATATAAAACATGGTCTAACCAGCCCTTTCGTCAACTACTTTTGTGCTATTTGCTCGTTCCAGTAGCACACGACCTGATTGCGTCAGTGTTCTCTTAAACTGTCCTGTTGTGAGTGAGGATCAAGTAGCTATCGTGTCCTACATCTTCATCATGTCTGGGTCGTCAGGGGCATCGTGGGCTTCAAAACATCGCTTGTAAGTAAGCTTACGAAAGATCCGCAATCTCGGTAGAGAGACGCTCTGCATTTGTGCAACAATTCCGTTGCAAACATGTGGACACACGAAATAACGGCAAATTAACGTTTCACTCGTGGCTCATCCGAAGACTTGTGTTCAATCTCTGGTTTCCAGTTTGTGTCAGTTTGTATTTTTGTACAAACTAAATTTGTAGTAGATTGTACCAGCTTGTACAAATGTGTACAAACTGAGTACAAGCTCAGCTGGAACCGGCTCTGTATTTTGTAATAATAGTATCTGTCAACACGTATTTGCAAGTACCGGTATAGCAGCTGATTTCGCCTTCTGATTATGATTGACGGTGAATTACCGACAACGACGAAGAAATCCACCCCTATATGAATAACATCCTCCATATAAATCGGTTGCTGCCATCAGAGACAAGCAAATCCGCCCATTAGTCTAATTGGCTAAGCCCCAGAGCTTCGGTACAAAACAGAAGCTCTTTTCATAAGGTTAGTAAGAAGGAAATTTTATATTAAAGTTCTACAATGGGATTTTTTGGTATTGCTTTTTTTAAACTTTTTACTATGACATCCGTCTTCAAATTTTGAGAGGTGGCATGCCAAAATAGACTGCTGTCTCGTCAACGTTGTAGATAGCGCTCAGTGAAATTGATCCAAAACATTCCAAAACTTTACAGCAAACTGCCAGTGCGTTTCCACCATCGCATCTTCATTCTTTTTAGTATGTTGAAGCTTCTGCGTAGTAAACCCATAACTAAAAACCGTAATAGGATAGTTAATTTAGTTGATATTAAATTTTTTTAATGAAAATATTACCGTGCTGCGAATCGTTGGCAGAGCCTCATCACAAAGCGCTCAAAGCTTGTTCAAGGCTATCTTTAGTAGGAATATACTCGTGCAACCACTGCGGTCGTTGTTCTTTCATATATTGAATCATGAGCCCTGTACACAAATACTAATAAAACAGAAATGGACATTAGACGATAGGATAACTCAAACCGGCAGTCATAATGGCTCTCTTACCTCCTCCTCGCGCCGTGCATCTTTCATGAACGTAATCAGGTCATGTGCAAAAGGTATACCGCAGGGGATATCTCATAGCGCATGGAGATCTCATAAAGCACATTTTGAATTAGCCAATAAAATACGCTCGAGACACGAGATAACAGTGGTACATCTTATATAACACACGTTTTACTGTAAAATTTCAATTATAAAGATCAAATTTTCTCAGCCAGTCACTCAGGATCGCCATCGATACCAGCAATCTCATTTTCATTTTGCTGGCGGCGTGATGGCACGAACACGATGCCCACGCAAGACGGGAGACAGCGGCGCAAAGCCAAAGCAGTACGAACGGATTGGTGTAACTTATGAGTATAAGTTGCGCGTTCTGAAATATTTAAATATATTAACAATGGCGGCTACGGTAGCAGAATTTTTCCCAACTAGCAATTCTAACTCGAAACGACGGCAGGTATACGCTTGGAAGAAGCTGAGAGCTGTCATAGAGGCCAAGGTTGCTGGTGACTCTCGTTATCATCAGCGTAACCGGACCCTCGGCATAAGTGCTACGCTGTCAGCGGAAGTAGATGAACAACTGGTGGGGTGGATAAACGAGCTGAGAGCCGATGGTGTGCCTGTGCCGAGTATGATGCTCAAGTTGCAAGCCCAGGAGCTTTACAGGACCGGCGGATCACGCAACCGTCCGTTCAAAGCCTCTTGGAGCTGGCGAAAGCATTTTCTGCTCCGCCATAAGCTCTCTATTCGCCGCCGACCCGAGAAGGCCAGTCTACACCGGCCGACGCAGAGCAGAAGGTGGAGGAGTTCAGCAACAAAGTGCGCTTCAAGATGGACGAGCTCGGTGTTTCTGTTGTTTACAACGCTGCCCAGACCGGTATGTACCAAATATTTACAACGTGTGAGACGTGGAAATAACATTATCTGCTAGGGGTCAACTATGAGTATGTGCCTACCTCTACAATCACTACTCGCGGGGCCAAGACTATGTGGGTGAAGTGCGCAGGGAAAAGCAAAGCGCGGGTGACTGCAATGCCGTTGTCCGCATGCGACGGCTCAAAACGAGAGCCTTTCCTCATTTTCAAGACTCGACCATCGACCAAGCCCGATGTCGCGAGGGAGAACAAAGTGATGCGCCATGGTTTTGGCGCAGACTTTGGGGCGAGGCTCACCCGCTTCAACAAGGTGTCCATATCTACGGCAATGCCGCTGGGTGGAGGAACAGCGAGCTGTCTATTGAGTTTCTGTCTGTACACTTCGGTCAGCGACCGAACATGCACGTACCTATTCCTCTGCTCTGGGACGACTTTCGGGGCACTGCCGGAAAGAGGTATTAATCTTTACTCGTCTCCTCAATGTCGTGCTAATGAAGGTGCCTCCTGGATACACTTACGCGCGCCAACCGGAAGACGTACCATGGAACAAGCCACTCAAGGATTTTATAAGGAAGCAGTGGGTAGAGTTTATATTAGTTCAAGCTCGAGCGGCATCCGCTGGAGGCACTACTTTCAAGATGTCACCACCAACACGACTAAATGTGGTTCGCTGGATCACATGCGCGTGGCATCTCTCACCCATACTACAATCACTGGTGGTTTCAAGAAGGCCAAGCTAGCGATCACCACAATGCTGATGCCACCACAACCGACACCACTCGCACCACCAGCATCAGACTTGGGCCCACTCGTCATGCTACTACTGCTGAGCAACGTCGCGCTACAAGCTGTTGATCCAGCGAAGGGCATCGACTATAACGAGCTCGACGGTGAAGAAGATGGTGCCGAGGGTGACTGCTTGGCTCAAAGCGACGCTTCTTAGCTTGGAAGCGCGATCAAGAGACTACCGGGAGGAATCGACATCAAGGGGAACTTTTCCGCTAAGCTACGGTAGTAGGTCTTCACAGGGACCTACGCAGACCATCAGCAGCACCGTTAAAGCTTGAATACACGTTGTAGATATCGAAGAAGGGCTCGTAGCGTACCATCTCGTGTTGGACGGGGAGTTAACCATTGTTATAGCGGCATCCTTGTTAGGACACCCAGTCCCCCCTCAATTCGCTTCGCGGTCAATCCAACACTAAATGGTTTGACGAGAAGGAGATTAAAAATATCGGCCAGCCGATGCTTTGTCCTGTCAAAGTCTTGCTTATGTGGTGACCGCTAAAGTCATCGATGTTTTCTTTATTGTCTATCCTGTCACGCAGCGTGCGACGGGGTATATCTAGCTGCTTCGCGGCTGGTCGAACACCGAGTTCTTTGGCTTTAGCGATAGCTTCTCGCTTTTTGAATATTGGGTATGAGCGCTGAGGCGCCATTTTGCAAATGGCGAGCGAAAATGCCGCTGTTGTGAAGGAGGCATGAATGTCCAGTTAATGAAAAGGACAAACTATTGGATAAAATCTAGACGGTATTTAGTAAATTCAGCAATGCTACTTAATAAAATATTTGACTTGAATACTGAACTTCAGCTATTGGATGGCGTGCTTTTATAGTGTGGCGGACTTTTCCGTCGTTGTCTGTATAATATTTGTATACTTCTCCGGTCCGGAAAAGAATTAACTGTTTGGCGAGATTTTTCTAAAAATAATCTCGCATGTGTGATTGGTCAATGTCCATTCTGAGATGGGTACAATAGGATAAAATGAGTTCATATGAGGACTTGTATGCACACGGATTGAGAGTTATTGACACGAAAATGGATTCAATTGCTTTTAGTGTTATACCACTAGAATAAGCTTCGTTTGCGCTTTTTCTTGTATATTTAAAGTTTAATTCTGATTATTTTTGTCGTCAAAGCGAAAAAAAGAAACCACCCCTCCATAACATAAATCTCCGATCTCCGACAACCTCCGACCGTAACAAAAGCAGTCCATAATTGTGTTCAGGTTATGTATTTGTGTATTAGTTGGGTAAGAAGCTTAGGGATCAGGTTTTGGGATAGGCAAGGCCAGAAATATGTTTGTAGCGAGTTTGTAGCGAGTTTGTAGCCGCAATCTTAGGCTCGGAAACGGCCTGTGGGCTAAGAAAACGGCAATTTACTGGTTGTGCATTTTTTAAGCCCGGATGGGTACTCACTCTACACTGCAAAAAGCGAAGTGAGACCCCGGTTCAGAAATCGGAGTCCACTAATTGAAGCAGATCATTCCTTTTTACGGCACTTTTTACACTTAATTAGTATTAGCAACGACTGGCAACGTGGGTAAACCCTTACCAGTAAGGTTGTCTCTAGACGGTTCGCCTATGGGGCCGCAAAAATAAACAGAGCTTCATTCTTGTTTTTTTTTTTCTGGTAAGGGACCAACCGCTACTACTTTATCATCGGTCCACTAAATTGATTATCTGCGTGTTTGTATATTTCGTGTATGTGCGATATGTGGCCACCTCTGCTGTCTATGCGTTGTGTGCTTGCTTGCGTTGAGGTTAACATTGCTGTTCTGAAAGGAGGTTAAGCTTTGTGTTTGACGCAGCACTCATATGTGTATTTCGAGTACTCTGTAACGAGGTTAACTTTGCTGCTCCACATGGAGGTTAAGCTTAGTGCTCAATACGGTGCTACCAATGCATAAGTTTAGGCAATGCTTTTTAAGCATGTAATACATCCAGTATTAGCTCTTACTGCTTAATCTGCGGTACCTTCTGCGTTGTTGAGTGAGTTGTCCTCCACAGCCTCGTCCTCGAAGAAGCGCTTGCGAACAAGAAGGCGGCGCTCCTTTTTGATGGCAGCAACAGCAGACTTGTGGATGTGCTCCCTCGGCTCCCACGTTGGCTGCCAGTCTACGAGGTAGTACGTCTGCCGCTTCTCGCGCTTCCACGTCATCACCTTGCGTACGTGGTGCTTCTTCTCGCCGCCTACACGATCGTCGTCATCTTCAGATGGAGGAGGCTCGACAAGCCATTCGCGAACATCGTCAAGGCTAGCCCGTCGCTTCTTCCGCTCCTTCATGGCTTCGTAGACGACTTGGATGGCTTCGGGAAGAAGGCTAGCTGATGCGACGATCGTGTTCAAGGTAAGTCGGAGATGGCGAATCGCCTAATTATCCAGGCGAAGCTTGTACGCCTTGCGTGTTGTGATACACAGGGCCTTGAACTCTTTCTAGGAGCTAACAGGGTGATTGGTCGACTTGATCGTTGGCATGACGAGCAGTCTGACTGTAAGGTGGGGTGTAAATTGCAGAATGATTTCAAGGTTGAGCATATCGATTGGAAGCGACTGGACAAGGCAAGTAGCATGTTATTCCTGGATGCAATCTAACGCTATGACTTATTCGTATGCAAAGGTGCAGGGTCGGTGATGCGTCCCTCAGCGTGAAGTTGGTGGTAGCTACGGATATGATCGTTGAGAATGCAGCTCTCGTGGAGCTTGCGCATGGACTTCAAGACCTTTTGGGCTCCACGAGCGGTGATCTTGTGATCTTAAGGAAAGCTAGCAGCTTTCCCTCAGCTTGTGTTCCCAAGGCCAGCATTCATCGCGATACGTTGGTGATTTTTCGCTCAGCTTGAAACCTTCGGGGAGGAACAGCTTCATAAACACCACGATCATCTTGAAGGTAGACCTCGTGTGCTGTGTAGCCGCGTCTATCGGGCGCCACATTCGAGGGTCTTGCGCGAACCAGGAGTACCATGCGTCTTTTAAGCTCGTAGCTGCAGAGGTACGTCTTCGCGTTACTGTCTGCGTGTTGCTGACCGCTCCCTCACTTGTGTTGTCTCCTGATTCTGCTGATTCTGCTCGTTCGCGCTTGTTGTAGATCTTAGACGCCATGGTAGACAGTCGGGCGTCAAGGTTTTGGTTGACTTGGATTAACTGCTCAATCATAGCCGCTTGCTGACGAAATGCTGGGTGCTTCGTTATATTATCTGAAGGAATTGGAGGGGTTAGCATGTTGGGTTTCCCATCCGGGCTTGTGTTGCTGGACAGGTGAGACGACCATGCAAGAAGATCATTCACGGATGCCCCTTGAGCGACCGCACATGGCTCGATACGCTGGACCGCTAAGGCGTCCGACTTCACGCCTTTTAAGGATGGATAGTGGCGCAACACGTATGCCATGAGGATATCAGCGACGCGTGCGTTTATGCTGTAAGCCTTCACATTTAGTCCAGTCGAGGCACCAAACAGCACAAAGGCGACAGCGCGGATCTTCGCTTGCGTCTCAGAGTCGAGGAAGTCCAAGGTTAGTAGTGGTACCGGTTTTGCAGGGTCGTGGCCACTCAGTACTCGGGCAACTTTGTGATCTTCGGCTGGAGTGTTGAAGACGTATGCGAATGCCTTGTTGGTTGACGTCATACTTCACGCACCTCTATCGAAGATCCATTGGACGCACATACCTGACCTGTTCGCGTGCTGCGCTCCTCCACGTCGAAAGGAATGCGAAGTCAGGCTATCACTCACACCTGTCTTACCCATGACTCGCTCGAGAACGCGATTTACGTAGCTGTGGATACCGGGCGAGGCGGCGTCCGTTTCGGCTGTCCACCAGACTTTGGTGCGTCTTGAGGATGGTCGATCAAGTCAATCAGAGGTGCAGCTGGCGTCTGAGATGGTAGGGAATGTCCCTGCTGTTCTGGAAGCTGGTTGAGAAGTACCGCTGTTGGTGATGAGTGCGTGATTATCGCAAGGGCAACGGCAAGCAACGGACACGTGGTTAAGTCGGAGTCTAGGAAGAGTGATAAGCCTTGCTCCTCGGAAGTCTTGACCCGGATGAGCCGAGCGAAAAAGATATCGCCGGATCCAATCGTCAGATTCGTTTTGTGGAGAAGCGTCAGGTCCGACGCGCGCCCGAATAGGTACCAGAGTAAGCATAAGAGCGCCGCATCTTGGTAGTCGCTGGCGCAAGTTGCAGTCAAAACAAATATTCGGTCATCTGCTTAAGAGCTTTCTTCGTGTCTGCTGGGGGCTTGTTAACAAACGTTCCTGTCTCGCGTTTCATGCAGTAGCGTTCCAACACTTGGCCTTTCTTTAACAGATTCTTTTCAACTGCGACACGATGCTGGGGAAACTGGTCGAGCAACCAGATCTTTGCCTGTCGGTAGTACTGCATCACCGAGTGTCGAGCTAGAAGCTGTCCCTTGCGGCCTTCCTTGAAGGCGAGATACATGCCACCTTTGTCCATCCGCTTTTGCCCTAAGCGTACCATGCCTCGAAAGCCGCCTCCGAATTATGGGAGTTCTCCCTTCGTGGTAGATCTTTCTGACATCGCTACAGCTAAAAGCATGGGTGTTTTGAGGGAGGACGCAAAAGTTGATGCTACAGCCAAAAGTATGGGGGAGTATACGCGACGCGAACCAATATTGCAGACACTGAGTTTCCAACACAAATAAGGAAACTAACGACACAAACAATTGCAATCGTTGACTGCTGATTTATAATTAAGGTATTTCTTTCCAATAGATTATCTTACTGATCCTCACTCTCAATAAATATCAGCAGCAAACGGACTGGGGAGTCAATCTCTGCGAGTAGATAGAACTCTACTAACGTACCCTGAGAGTAACCAGCTGGATACGTCGTGTACCCAGCTACTTCAACGTCAACATGTTAATTCGGTGTACTATTTTTTAGCTGCTCAAAACGCCTTTATTTATATGGTTGTTTTTGTGGAGTGCACTTCGGTGGCATTCGCCATTTTGGTCGATGCCTCCGCTCAACCCCCGACAGCGTCACGCCCGAACGATCCAGCGCCGTCTGGACGGCTCCTTTTGGCAGCTTCGTCTAAGCAGAGAAGTTAGCATACCGAACGAAGTCGACCGAGAGCTGGACGCCGAGCGTGCATCGTCCATAGGTGGTGGGTTACGTGACGTTGTCAGTAGAGGAGGAGGTCT